ATGCATGCTAGGCAAGCACTCTACCACTGAACTAGAGCCCCAGCCCCTTTTTTCTCACATTATTGATGGCCACTTAAAATCTTATGGAATCCCCAAATCTCTTTCCAAGAGTGAGCTTTGCTAGGGTATTAAAACATCTGAACAAGAAACACATGACTGAGACTTAAAAGATAACTTGTGACAAACAGTACTGTGGAGCACAATCTTTTATGTTAATAGGAGGCATAATTTAAAATCCATATGAAGTTAACCWAAGAGTTGAAATTCTTGGGATCACACTAAACAATTAACAACCCTAAACAACTCTCTCAGGAAGAAATACAGAAAAATACATAATACCTCTTTTGCAAGCATGTCCTTTGTTAATCTCAGTCAGTTTTAATGTAAATTTTACAWATTATTGCCCAATGAATCATATTATTTTGACTCCCATAAAGAGAGGATGATACTTGCCTTCTAGGATTAAGCATGAAATGGTGCAAAATCTTTTCAAAACTGTTACACAAACATAAAATATGAATAAGGAGACAAGAGAGATGAAAAGGCTCAGTAAGTTTAAAGGCTCAGTGGTTACAGTCACAGCCCAAATTTAAGTGGGTGGCTTTGTCTTAATATTAGTATCAGATATTTTAGAACAGTATGTATCTTAGAGTTGGGAAGAACAGGGAGAGGTTCTTAATTATATAGCTTAAATTACGTTTTTCTACTGTCAAAATAAGATTTAAGTCTCCCAGTTTCTTTCCTTTTATATATATAGGAAATAATTCTTTGGAGTTATATGGCTGGATAAAACAAAGAACAAAACAAACGTTCTTTTTATTTTTCAATAGTTTGTTAAACACAAAATATTAAATAAAAAAACCTGACAAACAAGTCCTTCTGGTACATTTGCCCAGTCACAATGAAAATAACTACTCATAAGATTTATTATTCATATTGAGCAATCAGGAAACTAAAAGGTAAAACCAGGTAGTGATCTAAATTAGACTTTTAATCCTTTAATTTTAATAAAATGCATTAGGACTGAGTCAACTTAAGAGGAGCAATTTTTTCATCTATAGGCAATAAGTGAAAACTWTATTGACTTATTGTAACTTTTAGAATTTTTTGGTTAGTTCACTGAAATTTTTTTACCAGTTTAAAAGTTTTTACTTCTAATCTCCCATTGCTAATAAATGATGATGAACTATAGCTGATAGAGGATTATCAGTAGCTTGAAAAAGCATAGCATTAACACACTTTATAATTAAACATAAAAGTTTTACTCAGTCTGTTTTATCATTTTTTTCTATATATGAATAGTGGCATTGTTTGAAAAAATGTGACAGGTACAAGGATATTATTAACAGTAGTGTTCATAATGGATTCCTGAGTGTCCATTAACCCATAGAATAAATGAATAGTATTATATTAATATAATGAAACACTGTATCCCAATGAACCAGATTACATTAAATTATATACTACAATATAGGTGAGTCTCACCATTGACCAAAGGAATATATAACATTATTAACCCAATAATATAAGTTTAAAAATAGGCAAAACTAAATATATTCTTACACACACACACACACACACAGACACACACACATACATTAAAACTATGGAGGTGGAGGAGGCTCGTGGTAGAGCACTTGCTTGGCATGTGTGAGGCCCTGGGTTTGATCCTCAACATCATATATAAATAAATAAAAGTTTCAATGGGAATAAATGGTTTCAATGGGAATAAATCTATTTTATTTTAGTCAGGAAACTATTATATTTTCTCATCTATTAGACTGAGGTCAGTTATTAAACCAAGATAATATCTAATTTTAAATATGCTTGAAAGGTTAGATTCTTCAAAGTTATATTTAAATGAAGGCCTATGAAACTAACTCTAGGTGCAGAAACAAAAAACTATTAGTATCTAGAAATTCCCCTCACGTTCCTTTCTAATCTCTAACAACCTTTTCCTTCTCCCATTCCCCACACAAAAATAACAACTATCTTAACAACTACATTCATCCTTTCCTTGCTTTTCTTTGTAGTTTTACCACCTAAACACACAATGCCAAAAAATTACAGTATTTTGAATTTCATATAAATGGAATTATTCACTATGTATTCTTTTATGTCCGGTTTCCTTTACTGAACATTGTGTGAGAAATACATGTTGTGTAACAATGTTCATTTTCATTCACTATTAAAACATATTTATAGGTCAGGCACAGTGGCGCACATCTGTATTTCCAACCACTTTGGAGGCTGAGGCAGGAGAATCACAAGTGCAAGGCCAGCCTCAGCAACCCAGTGTGTCAAAAATGAGAATTAAAAAGGGATGAGGATGTAGCTCAGTGGTAGAGTGCATGCCCAGCATGTGTGAGGCTCTGGGTTCAAATCCTAGTATTGCTTATTTCTATCCATTCTGCTGTTGATGGACATTTAAGTTACCTATTTTTAAAAAGTATTATCTTTTGTCTTTTTAGCTAGAAGCAAGTTTCTTGTGGGCAAGGACCTTATATTAAATTTTTTAATTTTTTTTTTTAGTTGTAGATGAACACAACACCTTTATTTTGTTTACTTTTTTTTTTTTTTTTTTTTACATGCTGCTGAGGATCAAACCCAGTGCCTCATACATGCCAGGCAAGTACTCTACTGCTGAGCTACAACCCAGCCTATTATATATTTTTCAAATTTATTTTAGTACTGGGGATTGAACTCAGGGGTGTTTTATCACTGAACTATATCCTCAGCCTTTTTTTTTTTTTTTTTTAAAGTACAGGGGCACTTGACCACTAAGCCACATCCCCAGACCCCCCCTTTTTTTTTCTTGTATCTTATTTAGAGACAGGGTCTCACTGAGTTGTTTAGTACCTCACCATTGCTGAGGCTGGAGTGAACTTGTGATCCTCCTGCCCTAGCCTCCTGAGTCACTAGGATCACAGGTATACACCACTGAGCCCAGCCCTTTTTGTTTTTTATTTTAAGACAGGGTCTTGCTTAGTTACTTAGGACCTCAAACTTTCAATCCTTCTGCCTCAACCTCCCAAGCCACTGGGATTACAGGTGTGTGCTACCACCCCCAGATTTACTTTAGTATTTTGAATAATGATAAGCACATAATGGGTATCCTCAATTACATTAAGTATTAACTAAGCAAATAGGCTAATAGTTTGGGAGATGAGTAGAAAATAACTAGAATTGGAAATCAATTTAATATATCTAAAGGTATAGTTATGCAACCAGCATTTTGTAACCAGTAGTACTTAAATCAATCAGAAGGTCTGACCTCTCTTATTCATCTAAGTGTAAGTATTTATCACCTTTGTCAGATGTGATGATGCATGCCTGTAATCACAGTAACTCACAGGACTGAGAAAGGATGATCACAAGTTCAAGACCAGCCTCAGGAAATTAATGAGGCCCTAAACAACTTAGTGAGATCCTGTCTTGAAATGGAAAAAAAAAAAAAAAAAAAAGAATTTATCATCTCTTATGCTTGCTGAGCCAAATGGAAGCTATAATTTTTTCAACTGTCTACAAAAGTAAAATTAGAACAATTTAAATGGTGGTTAATTATTATCCGCCCATTTTGTACAATAAATCACCCATATGCTAAATAATCACTATGATGAATAATAAAAACCATAAAGTCTAAGAAACAAGTGTATTCCCAAGTCATGAAATAAATGTAAATGTGTCAAAATATAYTCTACTGTCATGTATATATAAAAAGAATAAAATAAAAAAAATATAAAAAAGAAGAGATTTTACTAGATGTGTGTAGCGTTTTCTAGTTAAGAACAATTATCGAAGCCAAATTTAA